TTGTTATCAGACAAGAAGTTGAAGCTAACAAAAATTTGTAAAAGTAGTTCTTGTTAACTCTTAGCTTCCTTTAGCCTTCCCATACATTTATTATTCCACAATTGTCCCACTTTGTTCAGTTCGCTGTATGTGCATTTAGGCATTTAGGTTTTGCCACTTCTTTAGGTTGTCACCTTTGTACAGGGCTCCTAGGTACTTGTAAAAGTATGTATGCTTTTCCAATTGATCTATTTTATGTTAGACTCAGCCAGAAACCCTAGGAGAGTAAAGTTTTGCCTCCCCTACAGCCAAGGACACTGAAACAGGACCCACACTGTCTGAATTAGAACAAAGAGAATGTGTTGTCATCAAAATATTACAGGAAAAATAGAAAACTGAGCCAGAAATGGGCTTAAAAATGATCAATTCTGACTCCACTGTGACTCAAATCAATCATTTTATCATTACAATTCCCAATAAATATTCCATAGCTTACTGAAAACTTTTCATAAATGTTACTAGGTATATTCTTAAGTATAGCTCAGTGGTAGTGTGTACTCACACCCAGTGTGAGGCCCTGGGTTAAATACCCAGTACACAAAGTTTCAGACAATGTATTAAAAATATAAACGCTGTTGACTGGGCACACAGAAGGAAGGGGTAAATTTTACAAAGGCAAATTACCAAAGTAAACAGTACTTCGTATAGATGAAGGAGCTTGTGGGCCAGTTCATAGGGACAATCAAAAGACGTAAGAAGCACATACAGGATAATTCTGGTGCATTCCCCACATCCCACCAAGTATCCCTCAAGATTTCCATACTAAATTAATTGAAAGGCTACATCTAATGATTTAATAAACTGAAGTGAGCTGAAGGATGGAACCTACAGACCTATTCTGAAATATTCAGCCTCTCATCACTCTTGCTTAACTTTCCTAGGTGACTCATTTCTTCTTAATATCATTCATAATCTAAAATTGAAATAACTTGTCACTTATTGCATATGTCTTCTCTCTAAATTTTAAAACATTGTTTTCATTTTAAAAAATTGAATAAAATCAAATTAAAATTTTTTTATTAGTGAGCCAGACAAGCCTGTAGTCCCAGAAAAGCAGGAGGCTGAGGAAGGACGATCACTTGAGCCCATGAATTTGAGACCAGCTTGGACAACATAGTAAGACTCCATTTCAAATATTTTAGATAAGTAAGTAAAATTTTATTTTACTGACTTAGTGGACACTTCAGAGGAAAAAAGGCATATACACTTAGTACCCAACCCTACATGTCAGACATACAAGTTATTATAAAGGTTTTTAAAAACTTGCCAAATGAAAATAAATTTGTATCAGGTTCTCAACACTGCTGTCAGTACTATATTCAGTTTCCAGTTTTATTATGTCTGTCACAAAAGAAACCCATCATTTTCACTAGAAAGAGTGAAGCTCAAGAGACACAACAGGGCCATGCCTGTAATCTTAGCTACTCAGGAGGCAGAGATTAGGAGGATTGCAGTTCAAAGCCAGCCCAAGCAAATAGTTTGTGAGACTACCTCAAAAAATCCCATCACAAAAAAGGGCTGGTGGAGTGGCTCAACGTGTAGGCCAAGTTCAAACCCCAGTACCGCAAAAAAGAGAGACACGATTAGGTTTTAATTTTGTAGGGTTTTTCTTTTGTGTGTGTGTGTGTGTGTGTGTGTTAGTACTAGGGATTAAACCTAGAACTTTTTGTAAGGGAAGTAAGTGTTCTATCACTTCAGCTACACCCCCAGCCCACTTCATTTTTTAAAAAATATTTGAGACAAGTTCTCTCTTTTTCCCAGCTGGCCTTGAACACACAATCTTCCCATCCCTACCTCCTGCGTAACTGGAAATACAGGCATGGGCCACCACTGTCAGCTTTAATTTTATACTTTGACTTAAAATTTCATTATTACCATCACCAGCTTGCCCTCACTGCATTCTTGAGCTTCAAAGAATGTAGACAGACAAACCTGGGGATCATTAAAATGTAAAAATTAAAACTATGTTATTTGAACTTTAAAAAAAAAATGGTTGTAGCTTATAAAATTGACAAGGTCCTCTTACTTTTTACTGCTTCCCCAAATGCTGATTGTTCATATAAAGCTGTGAGTAATGACGGCATAAGAATTCCAAAGTCATTATTTTGTAAGGAATATGAGACATGCTAAAACATATTACAACAGCAGAGTAAAACAAACATGCAATTGTCCTCAGCTTTACCTAAAATTTTCATGTAGTTGATGTTACTTCTTTCAATCCTGAGTAGTATTTACCTCTATCCAGACTTACACTAGATTCTTGGCCTTTGAGCTAAGATCTAGTGCAGAACTACTAAGCACAGTGCAGACAAGGCAGCACAAGCTATTGATGCCTTTGTTAGTATCATAATCATATTTTATCCAGCTTATGGGATGGAGTTAGTGAAAATTCCAGTTAACTAAGAGTTAGATACATAGGTGCACTTTCTCAAGCCCTGTTATTCAAAAGGGACTGGTTTATTGTTACAATTCACTTACCACATTATCTTATAGAGAAGATACTTTCTACTGTTTCTAGAGTTACACTGATAATTTGGCAACCCTTTCAAAAATTTCAATGAAGTCAAATTTTCCTTATTACAAAATCATGTTGTCAAAAAGACATAGATTGTTATTACTGTTATAGTTGTTAGTTGATTTTGTTAGATAAAATAACAAAAATTTGGATTCCAAATTTCTACTTGACAACATAAATAAGAAATGCTTTATTTTTTTCAGTTGATACTTACATTTTGCACACAATCTGTGTAAATTAGATTAGAAATGCTTCAAATCTTTTGTGTATATTTATACCATATAAAGAAAAAACAGAGGAGGGTAGAAAGAGACAGAGTAAGAAACTTACCTTCTTACGTCTTCCACAAGAAAACTTTGAAAATGTTTGATTTTAGAATTGGAATTGTTTTTTTCAAAACAGAAAATACTCTTTCATGGGAAATCACTTGTTTAAATATTATATAAACCACAAGGTGGTGCTATGATTACATGCTGGTACTGATTTTCTAGAAGTTACCTGATACACTGGAGTTGTTTGTTCAAAGCTATAATCTCTTGATTTTTATGTTATCGCTCTTGTAATTAAAAAACAAAGCTAACAGATATCATTAACTATAGATAAATTATTGAAAGTTTACTAAATTCGAGGTTATATGCTCCTATATCCTACCATAAAAGTTCATATTTTTAAAGTGTGATACTAAACATTTATTGAAATACTAAAAATGTTTTCTCAAAAGCTTTCTATTTATAACTCAAAGTCTGTAATTTGACAGTGAAATATCAAATTATACATATGTAAAATATTCAATCAGGTGATCTACATGACACAAAAAGAAAAATATTCTCTTTCCAAAAATAGAGTCAACTTTCTTGAGTACTACCCAAGATTATTACTGTTTTTATTACATTAGAAAAAGATGTTACACAGTAATTTTTTAAAAATTCATTTTCTCTTGATTTCACCAAAGGCTTTTTCTTTCTAAAAAGAAATCTACAATTTCCAAACATCACTGTGTATACCTTCTAATGCCAGACATCTGTCTGTGCTGCTGCTTTTAAAACATGTCATGAGTAAAGCACTAAAATATTCAGCACATTTCTCACAATGAACCTTCAATACAAAAGGAGAACCATATTCTTACTTTCTCAGCATTAAATGAAACGGTACTGCTGCTTTTTGACTAAGCATGAAATAGCTGTATTTTTGTTTTATTTAATTTTCAATAAGCATTTTAAACTTTTCATTACAACTTATTCATCAGCACAGATGGCATGACTGTATGTATTGAGAGCCTCCAGGGTACAATATGCAAGTTCTCATTGGAATGTTTCCAACAGGATGTAAACCACGGTCCTCAAGCCTGTACTTTAAAAAACACATTACTTAGCACACTGCCAACAAACGTCAACACAAAAATACAGTGTTTGCTGTAATGACTTCACTCCGTAAAAGCAAGGTACTAGAAGCCATGGTTTTATTAAGAAAAGGGAAAGAGCAAACCAGTATAATAATAGTTCAAAATATTGTTTATTTAATAATGAAAAAACAAATCCAAATTCTGAATAAAAATATTCTAGTATATTAAAATTATATAGAGAATTCTTAAAATATACAACATATACAGTAGCCAGATCCTAGAGAAGTTCATGCAGAAAATTCTACAATTAGTGACTTGGGTATCTCAATAACTCTGCAGTTTCTTCAAACCTGAAACAGAATAAACAAATGATATATTAAGTAAATAAATAATTCATAATGAAGCACAGGATTTAAGTCGTTAAAATTATGTTTTTCAGACTAAAGCAAATTTGAATTATTTTTCTTATTTTTAGATATCATTACTATTAATAAATTTAAGTATGCTACGGCTAGAAGAGAGGAAAAATAACAAATGTTGATTCTTAGTGCATTAAGTTATTTCAGTATTTTTCAAATTTCAAAAGAGTATTATAGTTTTTAAGGTAGTAGGTTGCCTAACATTCTTACACAATTTTGTTTTATATTTCCTTTGAACTGTTCTTTTAAAAACTAGATGTAATGTCATTTGTACTAAATAAAAGAAATCATTATTAGTATTACTTTGCCCATAACTTATTGAAAAGACTGATACTTTAACAATACTGGAAAACATTTCCCAACTATCCATCTACATATATTTAATATTTTGATAAGTCAGTTTCAAGAATAGATAACTCTGTCTTAACTACTAACCAAAAATATCTTTGCACTCTTTAATCCATATTTAATTCCATTAACAATGTTTTACATCACTTCTTGGAAACCAAAACAGTGACTCATCTCACGAACATATAGCTGTAGGTGGATTTATTATACACTGGAGTCTTGAAGGAAATTCCACACCTGATTGAGAGACCTTTAAGGTTTGAAACACATATGTACACTCCATGTACACTGTAATCCATACAATTCCCTATAGAGAAATGAATTTTTGTTGCCCCTTTCTGTTACTTACATTTTTTTCATCCTTTCCATTTTCTGGATTGTTGTTTCCTTTAATTTAAAAAGCAACAAATTTAGGCAATTTCTCAAAGTAAACCAACCTCAAAGATGGACCATGAACTTATAAATCACATTCTGAAACATTGCATTAAGTGTTGTTTACTCGACATAAATAATTTTTGAGAGGTTAAGAGTTATACAGGTTTGCTATTTTTCTTGCCAATAGTATATACAACTAAAACCAATGCTTATTTTTTCTGTTGACCTGAGAAAGGAAATCACCTAAGCACTTGTCAGTTTTTCTTACCTCTGAGATCTCTTTTAAGCCACAGTAATTAATGGTTGAGGCTCTAGGAGTGGAATCTGATGACACTGTAATATAACCAGAGGAGGAAAGAATACGTGTTGGCCCCTCCACATTGCTTTTGCTATCTATGAAGAAATTAAGTTTCAGGTTAGCTTTTTTTTTTTTTTTTTTTTAGCAGTGACAAATATCTAAAGGTTTTGTTAACAGATGGAAGGAAAATAAACATTTTAATATAACATGGCTACTCCTGTAGTTTTTGCACTTTTTTCAAAAAAAAAAAGACTACAAATGGAAATCTGGATGTTAAAAATTGGCTTACAAAAATTACAAAATGCAGTCAGACTGGTGGCACACACCTGTAATCCCAGTGCCTAGAAAGGTTGACACAGGAGGACTGTGAATTTGAGGCCAACCTAATCAACATAGCAAGACCCTGTCTCAAAAGAAAAAAAAATTTCAACAGGCAATATTATCTTTATTGTGATAGCAACCAGTTTAATAGGCAAGTTAATAGTTTATTTTTAAATAAAAGCTACTAATTCATGTATATTTCTTTCTGAAAATGGTGGCATCTGTTAATTAATAAATAGTGATGGGTTTGCCATGTTTCTATCTAGGAATGTCCAAGGATTTAACAATTTTCTTACTATTGTTCTGTGGCAAGTGGAAACTATTATTAAAGCTGAGTAAATATACCTTTTAAAAAACACGAAATATCTTATTCTGAGTTGACATATATGGAAAAAATGATGTTTAAAATTCAAGATCCACAGGTGTCTTTTTACTAAGGAATTTAAAAACTTAACAGTCCAGATAGCCTGATATTAATTTGACAAAATAATTGTAAAGTTTTCCTATTAATTCAAACAACCTTGCAAGATCACAGATAAGGCATATATCTATCAAATCAATCCTATACATCATACCCTGTTTTAGTCATAGTAAATTTAGCTGCAAAAATAAGGCAAAAAGAAAAAAGACATCTACTTAAACTGGTTCACAGTAAGACTTCAGTGACACCTTCAATTAGGAAACAAAGTACTAAACAGCTTTAACTTTTGTCTCTCATGGAGCCACAGTCTCTTTTGCCTACTTTTCTTAGCTTTTGCTTCAGCCCTCTGTTTTTTTCAAAATGACTAGACTAATCCAGGCTCAACACGATCTCACTGACTTACTCTTGCTTCCCAATCCAAACTATAAGAAAGAATATAATTTGACTCAACACCCTTTGAATTAGTATTTGCTGGGTTAGATATTTACTCTTGATCGGCTTGTCTGAGACAGGAGGGAGGGGGGTCAGGTTCACATAGTACAACTTTGAAGAGAAGCTAGATCAAGAATTTTAGCAGGAGCTGTGGGTAATAGGAAATGTATCTATTATGCCTTAAATCATGTATTACTTTCTGTGAGTAGGACAGGTCTCCTCTGAAGATACTGGACATTTATGTATTTTCAATAACAGGAAGGGGATGAGGAGCCAGAGCTGGGAAGATAGGACAGGGTGTGAAGGAATGGGTCTCTTGGCCCTGTGTTTTGGAACTCAGATTGTGAGGTATCTAGCCTTACTCAAGGTTGTGCTTCATGGTAGAAGAAAGCTGGTATTTGGCAGGCTGGGAGGCTACTCAGAGAGATATCCCCATAGGGGATTCTAGAAGTTTTAAAGTAGAACATATACAGAACACCAGCCATATCAGTTAACTGCATGTTACTTTCAGTGTTTTTTATTGCTTTCCTGAGTCTTTAATAAAGGCTGACTTCTTTAAACATAACATTTCTTAGCCATGCTATAGTGGATTGAGGAAAGAACTGGTAACCAAGTTCAAGTTGGAAATGAAGAAGGAGTGCAGGGACCCACACCAGCAGGCCTGAAGTTTGAAGCTGGAGCTTCAGTGGTGACTGCTGAGAGATCCTGTGAAGAAAGGAAATCTCCTAAGGTAAGGGACACTAGATCATCTAGCCAGCTTCCTCATGTAACCATTAGTCTTTCACTGCCAACTTTGGGGGATTATCGCCTTTTACCAGTAAGAGAACCAGTTGGGTCCTTTAGTCTTTAACAATTTGCAAGCCAGTACTTCCAAATCAAAGACCAATGTGTCTATTCAAATGATTTATGGCTATTTTGTCTCATATACACTGAATATATAGTGGTTAATAAAAACTTCAGAGCCAGTTGCCTGGATTCAAATCTGTCCAGCATTCAATAACTGTGTTACTAACTGACATAGGCAGAGAATCTCACTGTACCTTAGTTTCCTCATCTGTAAAATATGGATAGTAAGAGTACTTATTTACCTTGCATGGTTGATTTGAGAACTAAATCAGTTAACATAGTAGTTACAACAATGTGGGCACACAGAACTATAATGCATTATTTTTGTTATTATTATTATAATATGTAATAGCTAAAAGATTTACTGGTGTTAAATACCCATATTTATTAAAATTTAACTTCATGATGAATTCAATTGTACAAACCATCTTTTCTCTGAATATTACTGAATCATAAGACATAAAGTCAAATTAGACCTTTGCCTTTTAAAAAGTATAAAAATAAAAAAAAATTAAAAATAAAAAAGCTGTTGCTGAAAAACAGAAGAGATTCTTGCTGCTTAGTCATGCTGAACAGGAAGACTTGTACTAGGTCTACATCTTCCTTGTCGTATCTGTGAACTGTTCAAACGCAAGACTTCTGCAATCCTCCACAGGATGCTGACAACTGTATTCACTTCTCTCACATATATAATTTGCATACAAGAAGGTTACTTAATTTTAAGAATTGGAAAGTCTAGAGGCCTACTTATGTTACTCTAGAGCATTTTATTATTTGGGATTTAAAAGAAAAAAAAATGTCTCTAAGTTTGCAACTCTGTGCTCTGGAATGTAGCCAACCACTATGCTGTGTAACATAATAAGCTGGCTCCTTATGCAGTCCTTGGCTTTAACAGTCTGTAAATTCATTTTTTTCTCTGTTCTAGGAGCTTTGCAATTTCTTAAAAAAAAAAAAAAACAACAACTAAGACTCGAGAATACTAAAAGTACCCAATACGCATAAAAATTATTTTTCTGAAAATCCCTTATCCTAACACCAAGACTGATACCACTGAGGAACTTACCAAAGGGCAGAAGATCCACATCACTAGTAGAAGAGCAGTCTTCACTTGCTGCATTAAATGTGACACAGTCATTCTGTAAAGCACAGTTAAAGATTTAGACTAAAATGAAAAGTGTTTCATTTTATACTGCCAAGCACAGAATATAAAGGTAGCACAAGAAATGTTTAAATGCTTTAATTATTTTATTTAAAAATCAGTAAGTATTCCAATATATAAGAAATAATTTTTGAAACATGAAAGCAGATAGTAAGCTTCTTGAATCAGCCAAATTCACTACCTATAAAAAAAAAAATTAGGGTCAAAGCCTGGTTCAAGAGGTAAGCACCAAGCCCTGAGTCCAAATCCCAGTACTGCCAAAAAAAAAAAAAAAAGAGACTAGGTTAGGAGTGATATCACAAGCCTGTAATCCAAGCTATTCAGGAGGCAGAGATCAGGAGAATAGGGGTCTGAGGCCAGTATGGGCAAAAAGTTAGTGAGACCCCATCTCAACCAACAAACTGGGCATGGTGGCTCACATCACACATCAGCAATCCAGGCTACTCAAGAGGCAGGAGGAGGAACATAATCTGTGACTGGCCCTATCAAAAGTGAGACACCCCATCTTATGAAAAAAAACTAAAGTAAAAAGGCCTAAGGGCACAGCTCAAGTTGTAGAGCACCTGCCTAGCAACTGTAATGCTCTAAATTCAAACCTCAACACCACCAAAAAATCCATTTTCATTTTCTGTAACATTTCTTATAAATTGAAAAGGACATTTGTGCTATTAAAAGACATAAAATAATAGACATAAAAGAATAAATATATTCTCACCTCATTTTAAGTATTTCAAGTACTATTAAAACTAAAAGCTCAAGTTACAAGTTTTTCAGATTATCAGATTTGATGATGAAGGCTATATTTAAACAAGACTTTATTCTAACTAAACATTTTCTTATTACCTAAATAGTTTTAGATTTAACATTTCCATAAGAATACACATATAATAAGAAAGAAATATTGCATTATACCCAAGATATTCTGTACATGCTAAGGAAATATACCTTTTTTGACAAAAGCATTTCTGTCTCAAGAAGAGTGACACGACTCAGAAGATTAGTCCAGGTCTTTTCATCTACCATAACTTTCCCTTTCATTGCTTCTTCCACACAGCATAGCCTTTGTTCCATACTAGTCAACTGCTTAAGCTTTTCTTGGCACTCAGCAAGCATCGTCTGAAGTGCAATAATCTCAGGATTAACTTTTACATCCTAAAAAAATTAACAAGAGTAAAGACCATAGCATGAGCTGAAATTCCTTTAAAATAAATGTACCCCCACCTCCACTGTGTTACTTCAATAACAGGAGAGTAGTACAGCATGACAGGTAAGACTGGGGCAGATCATGTGGACACTTGAACTATTCTGTCAGAAAAGGGACTTGATGTTTCCATTTCCCCCTCTAAAAAATTACAGAAATACCAATGGTACTTACATGGTTTGATTTTTGTAAGCTAAGTACAATAAAACTGTCACTAGCTTGCTTCCTAAAACAACACCTAGCACAAAGCTATGAGGAAAGGACCAAAAATGACAAAACGACACTTACTCCACTGAGATTTTTCAGTGCCCTGTACAATAAGAAACAAGCACAATGGACATTTGGTAGTTCTTATAAATGCTAATTGCATTCTGAGATGCTTAGAATTCAGTTTAGATAATGTTTTAGCAGAAACAGTAGAGAAGAGATTACACACATAATAGGGTTTGTGACAGTAAGAGTAACAGAGTGGTATTTTAAGAGAGAAAAGAATAGCAAGGACCAAGAAAGGAAAATGAGAAGGCAATAGAGTGTCAAGTTTTTCCATTCACTAATACAGAATGAGTGGTAGAAAACCACTATACAATGTGGTCTATCTCTGTTTCACTAGGTGGTAAGCTCCTTGAAACCAAGTGCCATCTCTTTATTTTTCACATTATTCACAATACATGTCCCAAATCCTAAACAGCAGTATCAAGTAACATCTGCTGAATTATATTCACTAATTCTTATTCTTAGGTAATGGCAATGCGGGTAATGTAGACCAGACATATTCCAAAGTCTAGATGCTGAAATAATCATGTATATCAAAGAAAGAAATAGTAGAATCTGTTAAAGAAGTTCTTAATTCTTACTTCTTGCTCAGTCTTGACTTCACAGATCTTTACTTCGGGAATCATTATTTCAGTAGTCTTTGCATCATCCGACTCATCAAATTCTCCACTAGCATCTGTTACTGAACTTACTGTATCATCAGGAATGTCAATATTATCTTCATTATACAGGTGACGGATCACCAGAGCTTTCTTCTGCATAGAGACAAATATGGAAGAAATGCTTTGATGGTTTTATTGCCACAATTATTTTAAACATACACACAGTAATTCTGCAAAAAGAACACCCAATTTTTCATTAAAGATTTTTAAAGTTCAAGTTACCATATATAATGTATCAAAATATAACAGACAATTATTACCAAAGAATTGATTAATTGTTGAAACTAGATGGTGGGTACTTTTGTAAATGTTTCAAATGTTCTATTACAACAAACAAAGACAAAAAAACAATAAACAGGGTTGCCAGGCCTGGTGGGGCACAATTATAATTCTAGCACCAGGAAGGGTGAGGCAGGAAGATCTACAAACTCAAGCTAACCTGGGCTAACTAGTGAGACCTTATCTCTAAATAAGTAAGTAAAGTAATTAATTCTGCCACAAAATTTAAAACAAATAACCAAGAACTAGCTATAGGAGTAAGACTCATTACAACTTTTTTTCTATTAAACAAAATACAATATATTGTACCTTCAGCAAATAATTCAAACTTAATAATGACAAAGACAAAGTCCTGACAAAAAAGGAGTAAGTAGGTCAAACTATGCATTTACACAGGGCCTTTCAGCCTGCTTCTTTTTCATGGTCTGCATATACAATACAAAAACTTAAGTCATATGATAAAGAAATCATAAATAGCACAGAGGAGACAACTTGCTTTAGTATCAACTTAACTTTTATCTATAAACAAAGAAATGTACTTATGGACTCTTAGTTTTTATAAACCTAAGGACTTTAAACCTAAGAAATTTATTCAAATTTCTGGTCATTTAAAGAACTGATACTCATTTATTTTGGATTAGGGCAGAAATAATTCTCCATATTTTACTTTATCCAGAAACTATTTATATATTCTATCAAATAAAACATTAATTGTACTCAGAAAGTTTTCCCCAGCTAGAAGACAGCTGAAAGTACATTTATCATTACAAAATAATATTTTGGCTTAAATCTTCCTTGGAGATGCAAAAACTTACGTCTCTAAATATACTGGATTCATTTTAGCCACAGGTGCTCAAAGTAGACAAAGGCAGAAATGATACCTATCAATAAGGGGAAAATAATCAAAACAATGACCCAAAGTGAGTCCTGGGTTTGGGGATATCAATCATTAGATAATTCATACTTCTAGTTATAGAATTATCAATGTATATAAATGAATCACCATAACCATCTCTTCATATGTTCCCGCATTTTAGGAAGATTAGATATATAATGAATAAATGTAGATTACTATATAACATTCCTAAATCATCGTTTTATCCAGAAAATAAGGAAGAATTTGAAATTAGAAATAAAAAGTCCATTTAATTTTACATTTCTATGTTCTTCTTATAACTTTAGGAACATTACTCAAATATTTATGTCCTATTAAAAATCCCAATACTGGCCAGGTACTGGTTGCTCACTGGTAGCTACTTGGGAGGCTAAGATCCGGAGGATAGTGAGTTGAGGCCAGCCCATGCAAAAAAAAAAAATTCATGACACACCATCTCAACCAACAGCTCGGTAGGGTGGTTCACATCTGTCATCCCAAACTACTAGGGAGGCTAAGAGCAGAAGGACTGCCGTTCTGGGCTAGCTAGGGCAAAAGGTTTGCAAGACCCTATTTCAAAAGAAAAAAGCTGGGTGTGGTGATGCATGCCTGTTGTCCTAGCCAGGGTAGAAAGTGTAAAATAGGAGGATTGGGGTCCAGGCTGGCCTGGGCAAAAAGTAAGACTCTATAACCAAATTAACCAAAGCAAAAAAGGGCTGGGGTTGAGGCTTAAGCAGCAGAGCGCCTGCCTAGCAACCGCAAGCCCTAAGTTCAAAGACCCCAGTACCATTAGAAAAAAAAAAACAACATACTGCAGTATTTGACTAGAATACCTTACCATATGCCAGAAGTGCATCTTGTATATTGGATTCATTAGAAAGATAACTCTTAAACTACATGTGACATGTTTCCACGTTTCCTTTCTTTTCATACCTTTCCTGAAGTCATAAACCTGCCAGTGATATCAACAGTTTCTGTAGGCATTTTCTCACTGCTGCAACAAGGTTCTGACTTATCACAAATGCTTTTCTTTCTCTGGTATGATGCAGTCTATAAAAAAGAAGAAGAATTAGACATAATAAATTTTGTGTGAAAGCATAATATAGATTTAAATTCCACTATCATTTTAAGTATCCATTTCTAAAATAGAACCAACAAATAATGAGCCTATAATGAAACTAAATGTCTTTTAAAACCAAAGAAGTTACTGGTGTCGTAGCCCACACCTGTAACCTCAGCACTTGGGAGGTAGAGGGAGGAGAATCATGAGTTTGAGGCCAGTCTGAGCTATACAGTAAGACTCTGTCTCAAAAAAACAGAGTAACACAAAACAAAACAAAATCCTAAGAAGTGATGAAAATGCAGTATCTTTGCACTGTTTAGGACTAGAAATTCGAAGTCACAGATATGTAAAAACAAGTCATTGGCTTGTTTTTATTAAAGCAAACATGAGGTTATATAACGTTACCAAAATCTGTGAACAAAGAAATAATTTTACTATGTAACAATTTACTATCTAGGGTGTTGATTTTATATACTGAAATACTGAGCCACTTAGTACAAGTTAGCACTAAAATTGATTCATAAAGTCACCTTGTCAAGACCTGTCAATTCCTTGTGCTTTTTCATCACACAATTCAAAATATCACAAATAATTTGGATTTTCCATTCTGCAAATCCACATTGTATAAATTGCTTTTTCGTCAATATTGGTTTATAATCAAACTGATCACGAAGAAGCTGCAAAAAGGAAAAAGATCAATGTAATAATTAGGAGCAATTACTTTAATCCAAAATGATAAATGACCACATGGTCAGAAGAATAATAACTACTTTAAGAGGACAAGGAAGCTATTGACTAAAAGTACTAAAGAGATTTATAGAGCTGGTGTGAGTCAGGTAGAAACCAGGTAGCAAGAGATATGCCAGAGACAGCTGTCTGGAGAAATGGAAAAACATAGTCAATCATCAAAAAGTTCAAATAGCCTCAGAAGTACTAGAAAAACTCATTAGCTCACTGGATTACCATACTAGATGCCAGAAAACTATAATTCTATTTGTTTATGATTCTACCATTATGTGACTTTTAGACAAGTCAGTAGGCCTTTTGATCTCAATTTCTCATTTGTAAATAGACTAAACCAGTAGCTTGTGAAGCCCTAGAACTTCTTAGAAGTGCTACTTAGGCTTTGATGGAAGCTTTCTGGGATTATAGGCAAAGAACAGCAAGATTAAATAGACCACATATAAAAATACTACCATTTCATCAAATACTACTCCACTTTTTGTTAAAGATTAGATGTGATAAACAGTTTTACCATAACAAAGTTTAAGAAAACCAATAGTAAATGTAGGTCTTTTTTTAAAGATCAAATACAAGATTAAACTACATATGTGTATACACACACACACACACACATATGTATAGATAGATACTAGTTTCTACAGATATTAGTATAGGTAGATATAAAACCTTGTTTCAAAACTCAAAGAACAAAGCATCTTCAAGTTTCAGTTCCTTCTTAGAAACAAATTAATGCACACTTCTATGAACTATGACCTTTAATAAATGTAATTAAATTTCTAACTTTTGCCAACATATCAAATTTTACTAAAATTTGATAAAGTGGGTAAATAATAGCCAATGACAAATGTTTACCAGTTTCCATAATTATTAGGGTAGGAAATACTGAAATTTGAACTGCATCTTAACTTTAACAGGGCCGATATTTTAATGAGAAAAAGGCACATGAAAATATTCTTTTAAATACACATCTTACACACACAGTCATGGCCAACGGGTTTGGTGAACATTTTTAGTGAATGACAGACTACCCATACAAAACTGATCCCAGAAGACTATGACTTAGTACTTTTACTATACCTTTTTTCTATGTGCAGACACACAAATACATATGTTGTGTTAGAATTGCCTACAGTATTCAGTACTATATAACATGTTGTATAGGTTTGTAGCCTATGAGCAATAAGCTACACATATAGCCTAGGCTATGAAATAGGTTATAACCTACAAGGTTTGTGAAAGCACTGTCTGTGATGTTTGCACAGTGACGAAATCACCTAGCAATACATTTCTCAGGCTGCACCTTGATTGTTAAGCGACATGTCACAGTACTTAAGGAGTTATTACTACAATTTTAATTTTTAAAGATCATTCAACAACTTCTAAAATAATTATGTTTTCATAAACTTAAGATACCTTATAGACAGTATCTGTAAAGCGCACATCATTCTTTGCTATGAGTTCTTCATTGGATTCCATCAGGAGTTCGGTTACGTAAGGTGAGTATGAAGTAAGAGAATAGCTGATAATGGGCAAAGATGCTGCTGGGTCTCCCTTTATCAAACTGTTAGGGAAAAATTTAATCAGCATAATTCCAAAAAATGGATAATTAAGGAAGTATCAGAAATGTTGTCAATAATTTAAACAACACAATAGCCAAAATACTTAGGCAATGCAGGACACAAGCCCATATTCTACCTTCCATTCTTAGCTGCTCTAGCCAGACTACTATGAAATGCTATTGCTCATTTGTTCATGTGCTCAGAAACTTACTAGCATTTGTATAGGTCACTCCATTTCCAACCCAATTTTGAATAAGGCAGAGAACAAATATATAATAACCTTGCATTTTTTTCAAGACAAATACCTCTATGTTTCTTTGTAGATAAAATAATGTTGTACCCAAGGAGAAAAATACTCTGGCAAACATGTCTATCTTGAATACAGTCAAAAAACAGAAAATGGAGAAAAAGTACCTTTGAATAGCAAAATCTGTCCATTTTATTCACTTCCATGAATAAATGACATCCAGGACTACATTTAATACATCTTATATAAATCTCAAAAGCTTTGTTACCCAGCTTCTGAGGATTTAGCAGATTAGAAACAGTAGAATAATACAAACTGGAATACCAACACACACACTCACACACAATAGCTAATGGTAAGAAAAAAAATTTAATCTGAAAAAGTAGAAAGAATCAAAACAGGTACAGTAGTGTTGTATATTTATGTGTGGAGAGAAGAAGGTAGCAATATGAGTCTCTGTGGAAGAAGTATCATTACCTATCTCAATAGACCCTGCAAATATTACTATGTTATGGAATAATCTAAAGTACAATGTTCTTAATGTTGTGCTCTTGAGTTAATAAGAAAATTAAATGCTTAAATACTGCATGCAGAAAACAGGACTTACTGACATATTTTAGAATTATTCCTGTGCAAAATGTCTTTTAAAATGCTGATGTTTACAAGTGGTAAGGAAAGCTGTAGGTAGACGGCTCAAGTGGTAGAGCACCTACTTTGCATGTGTGAAGCCCTGAATAAAAAAAAAAAAAAAAGTCTACTGAAACTGGTAAAGTCCCTGCAAGTTCTGGATAGTCAAGAATTTCCTGGTTCTTTCTTTCTTTCTTTTTTTTTTTT